GGTGGATCCCTAACCACTGGACCACCAGGGAAGCCCTGAAGAACTCTTTTGAGACTCAGTTTGGGTGTGACCTTCTGATTTCCTTTCCTGACCCCTTCCCTCTGGGTCAGCTGCCCCTCTTCTGGGTCCTCATTATGCCTACGTGGACTCTGCCATGACTCCTGTGCTCCTAGCAGCCCCTCTTCATGGTTCCTTGGGCTCAGAAATCCTTTCTGTCCCCCACCTGGCTCAGTCCCGACTCTTGAAATGCTTGGATGGAATCACAGAACCTTGGAGAGAATCTCAGCCATCCTCACACGTGGAGGTGCAGGAATACCCTCCCCAGAGACTATAAATGAAGTGCCTGATGAAAGTGCAGAGAAGAGAGAGGCAACAGTGTATGGGGGAGACCTGTCTGGTGATAGTTTTAGGGGCAACATGGAGAAGAGAGCTGAGAGAGGAGTCCAGTGAGGGAGGCAGAGACTTTCATAAAGAGCCAGAGGAGTCACACACACGTGCTTCAGATGCCAGCCTCTTCTGTGTTTAGGGGCAGAGTGTGAATACCATCTGCAGCAGAGACAACAGTGAGAGGGAGAAGGGCCGCTGGCTCTTCTTGGGTATCTAAGTGTCCTGGGAAAGGGTGTGACGGGACCTGCTCTGTGTTAGCGTGGTCCTTTGGAGAGAGGGCAGGGGAGAGCGTTGACGGGGTGGCACGTGTTGGAGCAACTCCACGTGCTCCAAGAGCTAGATGGTGCTCTAGAAAGCAGCCGTGACTGTGAATTGAGAGAATTTTAACTTCATATCCCAATCATGGAGCCCCACATCAGCCACCCAACTAGGCAAGTGTCTACGCATCAGGCAAGACCAAGCTTTACCCCAACAAGGCTGTGTGGCAGCAAGACAGCCAGGCACCTACAAGGAGGTAATAATCTCTTCCCACCTGACTTCAGCGGATGGAGTGTCCTGGGCTTCTGAAACTGTGGCTTGGAGGGGCCCTAAGAAAAGAGATTCTGGACCACCTGCCTGGCATGTGCTTGAATGATTATTGAACATGGAACACTGCTGTTGATGAAGAGTAGTGTTGATTGCAAAGTGGTGAGGAGCCCAGTAGCCCACCAGGTGCCCCTTGCAGTTCTGATGCTCTGATGGAGCATCTTTCCCTCTTAAATAGGTGCTTGATGACTCCCAAAGGGCTCCCAATGAGTTTGGCTAAACAGGATACAATTCCTAAGTGTCAGAGGAAGTGTAGTATCTATTTTGTATTGGTCTACTTTAATTTTATGGCAGTTGTGAGATTACTAAGGTCTCGAGGCCCATAATATCTGTCTCTTGTTTGATCTGATTGACCAGTGGGTTCAGGAGCTGCTGGCCTGATGGATCTATTAGCAATTAACTCTTTGGTCTTTCACCTGGTGGTTAGAGGGCATTGATGATTATTGGCCATGACATTTCCTTTGGAAATCCCCTAAGTTTTACTCCACCCTCTTGCCTTTTTCAAGGGTTCCTCAACAGACTTTTCTACTCCTCAGTGACAACCAACATAGCTCACAGTACTACTTTTAGCATTGATTTCTAAGGTTGTGGGGGTCACAGATCCCTTGGAGAATCTGGAACTCCTTCATAAGAGGAAAAGCAGCTCTCCAGATATGCACAGGCGCACAGAATTCCAGTGAGTGTCAGAGGTTCTTCGACCTCAGATTCAGCCTGCAATCTACAAGCTTGTGTACAACTTCGACCTTGTACAGAACCTTGCTCCCTTGACTTTCCCTCTACCACGTCACCCCTTGCATTACTGATTCTGTCTTCAGTTCCCCTGACCTTATTGTTCTTCTACTTCAAGCCCATTGGTCGTCAGCTCCACTCAATTCTACTTGCTGTAGTTGTCACAACAGAGATGTCATTCATTGTTACTTGAGATTTTTCCTTTGCGGAGAATCCAAACTCAGCTTCTCCCAGGCTGCTAATTCTTTTCCCTTTCCCTCTCATTCCCCTTTGTATCTATTGATACAAAGCTTATTTTGGGTCACATCATTTCCATAATTCTTTTGACATTTCTCAGATCAGTTGAGCCAACCTGACCCTTCACAGAGCCTCATGTCTACAATGGGGCATCTCAGGATTGCTTTTCCTCGTGTCTTAGAATCTTGACACCTTAATGTTGTACATGTGTCAATTGAGGAGGGCTCACTTTCATGTCTCCTCTATCAGCTCTTCCCCTCAAGGTGCTGAGAGTGACTGGATAAGGTTATGAACCATGTTGGCAGGGTCCTTACAAATTCAGAGTAAGTTACTAAACGGGGCTCTCAGAGAAGTTCACACACTTTCACCTTTTTCTAATTCCCTATTTCTGTGCTACTCAAGATGTTGTTCAAGGGCCAGCAGCAACAGCACTGCCTATGAACTTAAACAAATGCAAAATAGAAGGCCCTTCCTGGAACTACTGTATCAGAACGTGTGGTTTTAACAATATTCCTAAGTGAATCATTAACAATCAAGAAACACCCTCCTGTCTGTTCCCCACACGAGTTTTTCTAAATTTTTTTCCATAATACTTCATTCTTGATTCCCCTATGGATGAGTGTATCAGTCAGGGACCAGCTGGGAAAATAGAAAATATCCAAAGGATTTCACACAGAAATAATTCAATATAGAAAATGGTTTATACAGGTGATAAGAAGGGCCAGGAAGCCAAAGAGGAGTTGGTGAAATAAACCAGAGATTAACAATATGACAGAAGCTGTAACCTCCTTAGGCTGCAGGGACCAGGGGAAGACATGACGTGACTGGTGCCCTGGGGGGCCAGGCTTACCTGGCAGGAGATGGAGCCTCAGAGAAGACGCAGCTACTGGGAGCAAAAATGAGTGACCTTGTTTTCTTCCATTTTCTCACCTTCTACTCTGCCCTCAGCCACCTCATGTTAGACCCGCCAGATGTCAGCTGACAAGGGAGCTGGGAAACAGGGAAAGGCAAAAAAAGGCATTGAAAGGCAAATGAGTCAAACAGCCACCTCCTCCTTCTGCTTCGCATATACTTCCTTCCTCCTGACCTCAGAATATGTCTTTAGCCATCTTTCCTTCCTTCTGGTCAATCTTGGAAAAAAGGTGTCTTTTACTTTTTCTAAGAGAGCTGAAACTGGTATAAATTGTAATTAAAAGGCTTATGAAACACAGAATCCCTACTGTAAACCCTCCCAGCTCTAAACGTCTCTAGAATGTGAGTGAATTTTCTTTTAAAATCAGGTGTTAATGATTCTTCTGAAATGATGCTATGGATTGTGGAGAAATTGCCTGCTGAAACTCTCTAGGAAAAATGCATCCTGAAACAGGTGTCAATACCTCTCCTAGTTCGTATAAGTGATAACAACAGACTCCTGTGCTAACTAAATATGGACAAGCTATTTCTATTACACAAGACATTTAGATTTAATAATCACTTATTAGAGCTTCCCAGGTGGCGCTAGTGGTAAAGAACCTGCCTGCCAATACAGGAGACATGGGTTTGACCCCTGGGTCGGGAAGGTCCCCTGGAGGAGGGCATGGCAAACCTACTCCAGTATTCTTACTTGGAGAATTCCATGGACAGAGGAGCCTGGTGGGCTAAAGTCCACAGGGTCACAAAGAGTAACATACGACTGAAGCAACTTAGCACGTAGCACACGTTCACTTATTAAAATGAAAAATGATCATTCTAGACTTCCCTGGTGGTCCAGTGGTTAAGACTCTGGGCTTCTGATGCAGGGGACCCAGGATCAATCCCTAATCAGGGAGCTAAGATCTCACATGCTGTGTTGTGCAGTCAAAAATTTTTTTAAAAAGAAAAAAGAATGATCTTTGTCCCTGAGTGCTTCCTCACTGTCATCTCCCTTTTATAGAAAAGGAAATTGAGGCCAATGATATCAAAGTCTGAAACCATCATCTTCTTTGCAGTTGTACAGTGAGGAGGTATAAAGAGCACAAAAAGAATCTCACCAGTGAATTCCCACCAACCTTTCTCTGAATTGATTTTCTGACTTGGGAGGACTCAGCTGAAAGAAGACAGCACGACTCTTCGGAAACATGCAGGAAAGCACATCTGCATCTGCATTCCAAGATTTAAAAGTAGCATGGGCTGACTGACCGACCTGGAGCTCACAGATTGAATGCTTTGCTGCCTGAGGACCTTGCTGGTATCAGTGTGAGTCCCCAGTGCACCCCCCACCCCCCCAACCCAGAGCTCAGCTCTGCGACTGACACATCGTAGAAACCCAAAGTCTGCTGAATCAATAAAACAACTCAGAGTCAGTTGACCTTAGTCCCTATTTGTTGACTGTGCCACTTTCAGCTTTTCATGGAAGCTGAGTCTCAGTCCCACCATCTGTAAAATGGGAATGATAATACTGACTCCATATTTACTTCACAGTATTGTTGTTAAAATAAGATCATATTTGAGAGTTTGTCCTAGTAAGCAAAGAAATCATTCTTATAATGCTCTAAACTTAGTTTTTTAAATTTTTTTTAATTTTAAAAATTTAGAGTCTCAAATTTTAAAAACTTCACAGACCTGTGCTTGCACATTTATTAAGATGTAGCCAAGTGAAATGTGTCAGCTCCTCCCCCTGGATGCCGTCTCCTTCACTGGTGTGTAACAATGCATAGGGCTGGCTGAGCTGCATAATACAAATCAACGGCCAGCTCTTTATAGTCTTGGCCAAAACAGTGCTACCCAAAACACCATTTTAAATTGCAAGAAATCAGAGGACATTTCATTCATTTGCTTTTTATTGTTATTGACACATACACTTCAATTTTAATGCGCACTGCAGATCCACATTTAAAGGGGAAAAAAGGCTCTTATCCTAATTTAGCAGAAAGCAGAGCTATCAGTATGAAGGACAACACAATACCAAAATACGTTTGCTTTTCGTCCATGCTTATCTAAATTAGAAACATGCTTCCCTTCACAGGGGCCCTAACAACACACGGGCAGAAGCAGTACCAAGGTGATCTAGCAGGTCACATGAGTTTCCACACTGCGTCTTCACTTTACTCTGCGTCCTTATCTTCATCTGAAAAATGGGGGACTGACTTCTTTGCAACAACATTGTCCAGTCTCTGTCCTTGTAGATATGGATTGACACTCTGAAAAATATATAATGGTTTAGAATCACACGTGAATACCAGATACAGACATCTCACAGAAGAGGTGAACGAGAACTCTTTCTCACCTGTTGGGTTAACTAGGCAACCGTGGAGCCTGCCACCTACCAAATGATGACTTCGGTGCACCAATCAATGCCTCAGTGGCCAGAGAAACACTGACTGACAGATGTGTCTAATTATGTCTTTCACACAACTGTTTCACACAACTCATTATCAGGTGCAGTTTGGTCCCACTCCCTTTTTTGGAATAAAGATTTGAAGTGAACCAGCTAATAAACCCTCACTATTAACAGACACAAAGCCTCACATGAAACAGAATTAAATCATTTGACAAGAAGAATGTTCTAAAGAAGAGGACAGAATGGAGCCAATGGGAAGAGTGGTCCGAGATTACCTGCTGCTGTGACTGACTCTTCCAAAGCAGCCTTCCACTTAAAGAGGACTCATCAAGGGCTCTAGTTTTCACTGTCACCTTCTCTCAGTCAAACTCAAAAGCCGAAGGAAAGGAAATTATGCAGAAAGATTCTGTATTTATTATTATTTTTTAGGATGTATAAAATGGTGATATTTTGTTTTTAAATTTTTTTATTTTAGTATAGCTGATTAACAATTTAGCTTCAGGTGTATGTTTTAAAGATTCTCTTCCCATATAGGCCATTACAGAGTACTGAGTGGAGCTTCCTGTGCTATAGAGCAGGTTCTTACTAGTTACTTATTTTATAAATAGTAATGTGTATAGTGAAAATTGCTCAGTCATGTCCGATTCTGGAATTCTCCAGGCCAGAACACTGGAGTGGGTAGCCATTCCCTTCTCCAGGGGATCCTCCTGAGCCCAGGTCTCCCACATTGCAGGCGGATTCTTTACCAGCTGAGCCAGCAGGGAAGCATCATGTGTATATGTCAGTCCCAATTTATTCTGTCTCCCCCTTATTCCCTGGTAACTGTAAGTTTGTTTTCTATATCTGTGACTCCAAACTACAGAGGTATTACCTCATCAGTCAGAATGGTCATCAAAAATCTACAAACACTAAATGCTGGAGAGGGTGTGGAAAAAAGGGAACCCTCCTACACTGTTGATAGGAATGTAAATTGGTACATCCACTATGGAGAACAGTATGGAGGTTCCTTAAAAAAACTAAAAATAGAACTATCATATGATCCAGCAATCTACTGTTGGGCATATACCCAGAGAAAAGCATAATTTGAATAGATACATGCACTCCAAAGTTCACTGCAGCACTATTTACAATAGCAGGACATGGAAGCAACCTAAACATCCATCAACAGAGGAATGGATAAAGATGTGGTACATATATACAATGGAATATTATTTAGCTATAAAAAAGAACAAAATAATGCCATTTGCAGCAACATGGATGAACCTAGAGATTGTCATACTGAGTGAAGCAAGTCAGACACAAAGACAAATGACACATAATATCGCTTGTATGTGGAATCAAAACAAAAAGAGTGCAAATGAACTTATTTACATAACTCCTTTATTTTTGACTCAAGACTCCACTGTCTGAAATTCTTTTCAGCTGTTGGTATTCTGAATGAGTCAATGTTTTTCCATTCCTTCTTTACTTTATACCTATTTTCTGAGGTTTGGATTTGAACTAGGAATTGGAGTTTTATAACAGTATTTAGCAAGCAGACAAAAATTCAAGTTTTGAAAAGTATTTGTTTATTAACATTGTCTTCCAATAACTAAACACAAATATAAGAAAGAACTGTAGTTACAATATATCTGCAATCCCATGGCACCTCTAAGCCCCACGGATGAATGGAGGCATTTCACAGGGGGTCTCTCTTGCCCATGGGACATTGTCTGCTATGACTTTTGAGCAGACATTCTCCTAAACAGAATGCCTGGAATCTGAGTTGAGTATTTAAAAATGTACTTCCACATTCTGATAGGTGAAAGTATGAATAATGAAAGGCCCAACTTATCCTGCAAAAATGCATCATAAACAAGCTGAGAATTACAAAGTATGCAATGTTCTCATTGATCTGAAAAGTGGTATGTCACCAAATAACAGTACTTTGCTGGGAAGCATCTTTAAAATATTTTAAATAAATATTTTTTTATATTAGGAATTGTCAACTAGAATGGCCTGGCTTAACCCAGAGAATCATTTCAGAATCTCTGGCTAGGTGGAGCACATATGGACTGAAAAAAGTATATTCAGTATTATAAATATTTTTAATTTTTTTCTTAGTAAAAATATATTCTGAAATTTCTAACATATTTAAAAGGATATGAAATATCCTATTTTAATTTAAAAATATTTTTTCTAAGCTATGTTCTTTAATGTATTTTGGAGCATTAAAAAAAATTGATATTGACATATAGCTGATTAACAGTGTTGTGATAGTATTTCAGGTGGTCAAAGGGACTCAGTCATACATATACATGTATCCCTTCATGATAGTCATGTTTATCAAATACAGGAATAAAGGGCTGACAAACTCTTTAAATAAGATAAATAGCAGATTTCAAATATTAACAAGATATCTCCTAAGAATTAAAAATTTGATGCCATTTAAAAGGTCATTTATTGACCTTTCCTTCTTGAAGCAACTAGGAATACAACTGGATTTGAGCAAATTTAGAAAGCTACATAAAACCACCCATGGCTCTGTTGTAATTCTGGGGAGAAGCCATCCTGGTAAGGGACTGTCATGAGAGCAAGTCCTTCTGCCCAGACCTAGACCATAACAAATGAAGCAGGCAATGAAGGAACTGAATTAATGAGGAAGAAAAAGGAGCAATCACTTGAACTTCTTTGATAAATGTCTGAGTACTGACTCCTACATACAAGGTTAATAATAATGATGACGTGTGTGCATACTCCACTTCTCAGTTGTGTCTGACTTTTTGGTGACCCCATGGACTGTAGCCTGCAAGGCTCCTCTGTTCATGGGATTTCCCAGGCAAGAATACTGGAGTGGGTTGCCATTTCCTCCTTCAGGGGATCTTCCTGACCCAGGGAATGAATCCTCGTCTCCTGCATGAGCAGGCATATTTTTTACTACTGAGCCACCAGGGAAGCCCAATAGTGATGATACTTGGTTTTAAATACCTTCTGAAGAACTCAAGGCACTTAGATATTTACCTTCTCCCTTGGGCGAGAGACTGGGTAGGTTACACAGTTGCCATTTCACAACTGATAGAACCATTGGGATTGGACCCCTGCCTCTGATGACCTTTGGAAACCCAAAGCAGATGCTGAGCTTCACTGGAGAAAGCCCTGATTTTTCATAACAGCAAGCCCATAATTTCTTCATGTTGATTTGCATACTGGAGGGAACGGTCAAAGTCATCATTCAAGATGGGAACACGATCTGAGGTCTGAAGACAAGGGAGGTAAGTTCTGTTTTTCCTCCAGACTTGAGAGGGCCCTGGTTTATGACATGGGCATGGATCTTTGTAGATATCTGAGAATAGGAAGAACTTGATACCTCTGGGTCAAAGTGACCCTATTTTCATAAATTCTCAGCCTTTCCTATGTGGAGTAAGATGAAGCCAAAGCAAAATCCTTTATAACATGTGTCTTAGCCAAACTGAATTTTGGTCATCACTGGTCTCATACAAAAATGACCTAAATCATGACCTGCAGCCATTAACCAAGGCAGGCCAGGAGGAATAGTGAGCCAGGAAGTAGAGACAATTAAAGCTTCATGCTAAGATACCCATTTCAGTATGGTCACTGTTCTTATTTGGAAATGTCCTTATTGTACCATGGGGAGACATTCAAGCGATCTTACTGGTAAATTATATGTATTCTGAGCTCCTGGAATAGAATTTCTTGATGTTCTCTCAAGACCACATTACACCCTTCAGACCTTCCCTGCCACCATCTACTACCACTGGAGACAGTAATCATCCAAGAGAAATCTCTGAATAACCCGATTAACTCTCCGAACATCTGTTTCCAAAGCAAAACTTTGCTTCTTGAATAGAAAACTGGCCATGGGTCTTCTGTATTTTGTCAGGCAGCACAGGGACTGCCTTTCTGTTTTGGGGGCCTGAGGAATTAATGCTGAGTCCAGAAAACCTACACCTCTTCAAGCATTCTGACTAGATTTGGCAAAACTATTCAGAAAGGCCACAGTGACCACTGTCCAAACTCCCCAATTTTGCCAGGATCCAGGTACTTCCTATTCTAAATACATAGTCAGGGTCCTTGTGTGTATGGTTTGGTTTGTGTATTTTAACTAAGATGGTTACTATCTGGCAGCATTTTACTATGGAATAAGCAGACTTTAACTTTTAAAATCTGATTTAAAAAAAGAAAAAAAGCAGATGGGACTTCTCTGGTGGTCTGGTGATTGAGACTCCATGCTGCCAATGTTGTAGGCAGAAGCGGGTTGTGGGAGGGGCACAGGTTCAATGCCTGGTGGGGGAACTAAGATTCCACATGCTGTTCAGTGCTGCCAAAATTTTGCTTTTAAATGGCAGGTGGCCAGGCACTTTTGCCTAAAAAGGCACCAACCACCGGCCACTTGTTTAGTCTCAACACCATCAAATACATTGGAAGCGCAGAGTCAAGTGACATCAGCTTTGATAGAGGAATCACTGTAGTGGCTAAATGAACAGCGCCTAGGGCAGCCCTGGGATGGTGAATAACTAGCCCTGCAAATTCCAGTCAGTAAACAAATAAAATGGATCTAGTAGATTTTTACATCCGTCTGGCCGGACCAAGAAAAAAAGTATGCAGAAGGAATGAGATTTGTTCATGTCATCTTTTGCCCATACATTTCTTTAAAATTATTGCCTGGAGCAGGCAGTTCAACACTTCCTGGTTCTTGGTTTGAGTTTTTATGTAATTGGTGCGGATGGATGTGTGGCCTATAGATCCTTTGAGGAAGGACGTACACTCCTGTACTCCCCACATCCCTATCTACACCCATGGGTGGGATGCAATTGGCTTTTTGTGAGTGCAATGATGGTGGTGGATTTGCCACAAAACTCACTGTGCCAGATGAATAACCAGAAAGGACCTACTGATAGCACAGGGAAGTCTGTTGAGTGTTATGTGGCAGCCTAGATGGGAGGGGAGTTTGGGGAAGAATGGATACATGTATATGTATGGCTGAGTCCCTTTGCTGTCCATCTGAAACACTCACAACATTGTATAGTCACGCCTGTACTCCAATACAAAATAGAAATCAAAGTTAAAAAAAATTAAGCTTGTCCAGTGGGAAAGGATGGGGGAAGAGATGGGAGGAAGGGATAGTTAGGGAGTTTGGGAAGGTCATGGACACACTGCTGTATTTAAATTGAATAACCAACAAGGACCTACTGTATAGCACATGGAACTCTGCTCAATGTTATGTGGCAGCCTGGATAGGAGGGGAGTTTCAGGCAGAATGGATACATGTATACGTATGGCTGAGTGCCTCTGCTGTCTACCGGACACTATCACATCATTGTACAGTAATGGCTATACTCCGATACAAAATAAAAAGATTAAAAAAGAACTTGGTGTGCCACTAAAAATTACATGCTAAAGCGTGGAGAAGACATCGCAGAAACCAAGAGCAGACTTTCTAGGCACGCTTCTTGTCACCAGGGACCACTGTTCAGCCTCGCCCCATGCAGGACTGTACATGTAAGGACTCTGCTACTTTCGGACCTCCCAAGGGTAACAGCCTGTCAACTGCCCCACTCAGAAAGCTCTAGGCATCCCCCAGCCTCACAGCCAGTCAGACGTTACCCTCCGCTTGCGTCTCTGTCCTCCCTTCATCTTCTCATAAAGGAGCTTCTTGTTCTGGAGTTGAGAGAAAAGAAAACACAAATGCAGAAGTATGGATCACATTTGGTCAATGGCTATCATATCCTTGGTGTGTCCCCCTGGATATTTGCATACACATATTTTGGAAACAAAACCAGATGAAAGGAGTGTCGTGTCAGAAAGATAGATCACAAGAGAAAAGCTGGTGTTGTGCAGCTTTTAATAAAGTTCTCTGCGATGCCCCAAGGCACACCCATGTCATCAACAATCATATAAATCAGAAAATACGACATTCTAACACACAAGGGGCACTGGAGACCCATCTCCTCACTTTGAACAGCCTTTGTTTAAAGCAAACAGTTTTATCTTATTTTACTTTAGTATCTAACTCCCTTTTTATGAGCTGTACACATAAACTGTTCTCTAGAGGAGTGCCTGACTATTAGCAACAATCCTCTATGTAAATAAACGAGACATCCGACTTCTGCAACCCTTCCCCTTGTGGCTTGAGTCAGTGTCCCCAGTCAAGACAATCGGAAAACCATTTGGTCTATAACATTTTTAATAGAGTGAACCTTTTAAAAACTGCCAAAAATCTTCTTGGCAGAAGAAAAGCTATGTTGCTGAGGGGGGTGCAGGACAGGCACTGTTACCGCAGTTTGTATAAGTGTTTCCACATATTTCTGGATTTCAAACACATAGTGGATTTAAATGAGCTCTAGAATATCACATGCATGTTGAATATATTTCCCTTCTATTGGGATTATAAGAGACAGAACACTTAACCTGAAGAGAGGAAATGGGGAATTGGGGGCATTCTCAAGTTGTTCACTTTTTTAAAAAAGTTTTTTATCAGAAGGGAGATAATATATAAAAGAGGTGATTCATCTTACTCTAAAATACCCTGACATTGATTTTTTAAAAGAAGAAGATGACAGAGTTCTGGTAAGGAACAAGTTTATACAACCCTTGTATCTTCTGAGCTGTTTGGATATCAAGTTCTTTTTTTCATGGTAGATTTGGAAATGAAAATGACAAATACCAAGAACGAGGTCAGAATTTTCATGTTCATTAAAATCTACTCCACCCACAATTTACAATGTGTATCTCTTGCCCAACCTCAACTATGCACTGAGGCCATGCCAGAGCATCAAGGAGCCTCCACAGCCCCAAAGATCGGTCCTGGCCGCAGCCTGAATCTCATGCTCACTTGGAGAATTGATGAGTTTCATCTCAGAAGGGAGAAGAGTACAGATCATTCACTCGAGGAATGAGGGTACTGCTGTAAGGCTCATTCTGTGCTTGCCTTTCTGTAGATGGAACAATTCCTGGTGAAAGAGAAGGTCCTGGGAATTCATGCCAAAGCTGGGGACAGGGCTCGGGAGATAGGGGGCCAGGAAAGAGGCTTCTGTGAATCACTGGGATCAGCTGCCTGAGCGGGAGGGAGGGCACAGGGCCCTCGAGCTGGTACCATGGGGTGGGACAGCCAGCCAGCCATGGTTAAGGTCCACTATGCCACCAGCAAGGTAAAGACAGCAGCATCTTAGTTACTCACCTTTAGAAGGCCAGGGTTATACTCATAAGAGCCTTCATTCAAAGAGAAAAGGAAAGGAAAGCAAGCCTTCCTCTCAAAGATGGTCCCTGTGTTTCCCTAAGAGTGCAGGTTAGGATGAGCCAGATGCTTTCCCACCCCTGCCTGCCAGTGACCTTGGCATTCCTGATGAGCCCTGCTATTGTATGGATTTGAAGGCAGGGATTGACAGGCCTCCTGTGGGTGAAAGAAGTACATAAAGCCAATGAGAAGAGACCAGCTCCCCTCCTGACACCCATTCCCTTGTAGATATGGTGGGGAGGGGGAGCAGTGAGCCTGTTTTCCATGTGAGTAGCAGGTCTGAGTTCACAAAGAGGGCTTTCCATTGTGCCATCAAGATTTTGGACAACTGCCCAGATCTTGGTTTCAAATTCCATTCCTAAATGGAACCAGGGAGTCTTCTTGGAGAAATGTCTGATTCCAGAGCTAGGGCAGGGAAAGTACAAGGATGAATGAAGTTGGGATATCTAGTTGGGCCAGAAAGTAAGGAAGTGCTCAAAAAGTGATGAGACATGGTGAAAGGAAAGAAAAACCAGCCTGCAGAGACTCCCACTGGCTGAATCTAGGACAGTTTGAACAGCAAAATAAATAATAGTAGGAAACAATGAATCTATACTGATAAAAAAAATTTTAAAAAATGGGGGAACAGGGGAAACTCTTGCTTAGAATAGAATGCCAACCAAGAAATGCCGAAAGAATAGTAACATTTTTAAATAAATCACCATTTTAAAACTACCATAGTTATCATTATTCTGGTGAGTGCCATCAGTGGATATTAAAATTGTTAGTTGAAAGTGTAACAGGGACAGAATATTTATACAGTCTTGAAGTAAATCCCCAACCTAGATAGCATATTAAAAAGCAGAGACATTACTTTACCAACAAAGGTCCATCTAGTCAAGGCTATGGTTTTTCCAGTGGTCATGTATGGATGTGAGAGTTGGACTGTGAAGAAAGCTGAGGGCCGAAAAATTGATGCTTTTGAACTGTGGTGTTGGAGAAGACTCTTGAGAGTCCCTTGAACTGCAAGGAGATCCAACCAGTCCATCCTAAAGGAGATTAGTCCTGGGTGTTCATTGGAAGGACTGATGTTGAAGCTGAAACTCCAATACTTTGGCCACCTGATGCGAAGAGTTGACTCACTGGAAAAGACCCTGATGCTGGGAGGGATTGGGGGCAGGAGGAGAAGGGGACGACAGAAGATGAGATGGCTGGATGGCATCACCGACTCGATGGACATGAGTCTGAGTAAACTCCAGGAGTTGGTGATGGACAGGGAGTCCTGGTGTGCTGGGATTCATGGGGTCACAAAGAGTTGGACATGACTGAGCGACTGAACTGAACTGAACTGAAGTAAATCCCCACAGATTAATTATTAATTTCAAAGGGAAAAATAGTAACTTTACACTGGAGAAAACTGGAAGACACCACTTTGACCAAGTCACCACCAATTCTGGGATAAACTCGCTTCAGGCATTTCCTGAGGGAAACACTAAGAACATATCAGAAAGGCACAGCTCATGACTAAGGACATGGAAACATGAGAGAAATCCAAACTGAAGAGCATCTGACTCTTCAGACACAATAAGGGCGTGAAAGACAGAGAAAGGCAAAGGGTCCTCTGTCTCATTTCTCCCATGGCTCAGGTTCAAGGCTCAGTTCAGCTGCATCCGGTTAAGGAGGGAGCCTCTAGTCACCCAAGCTGCTGGTGAAAAGATGTGAAAAGCACTTGGAAAGGAGAAACATTTGCTTTTCAAGACAACTTCTTCCTAAGTGAGTAACACTCAGTAATGAATGTGTGAAGGAGGGGTTGGCTGACATCTATGGTAGCCAGCCTTTGTCTATGGCAGCTCCAGGTGACATATCATCTGAAAGACAACCAGTTGTAGGCAGGACTCGACAGAACCACTGTACAGGACACATGATGAGCGCTGAGCCATGGAAAGAAAAGGAATTTATCCAGTTTTTAGAGAACTCCTAGAGTTCAGTGTTCTGGTTCAAACCCCAGTTCTGTCAATGATCAGCTCCGTGGGGTCAGGCAGGCCTTTTAAACTCCCTCTTCATGCATCCCTGCTTAGTCGCTTCAGTCATGTCCGACTCTTTGCGACCCTATGGACTAGAGCCCACCAGGCTCCTCTGTCCATGGGATTCTCCAGGCAGGAATACTGGAGTGAGCTGCCGTGCCCTCTTCCAGGGAATTGTCCAACCCAGGAATCAAACCGGCATTTCTTATGTCTCCTGCATCGGCAGGTGAGTTCCTTTCCACTAGTGCCACCCGGGAAGCCCTTAAACTCCCTAAGCCTATATCTTCTCATCTGTAAAATGAGCATGATAGGGAAGGCAGACTGAATGGAATTAATTCACGTATTTAGCACAGTGTCTGGCACACACAGTATGTGCTCAACAAATATGACTACTTACTGTCTTATTATAAAATATAACGACTATTATCATCTTTGTATTCCCATCACCTAATGCAGGGCCTGGAAGGTATAGGATATGCATTTAATAAATGTGTCTTGATGCATTAACAAAGAGAGAGAAATGCAGGAAATTAGACAGACGCTGATATTTATGTGAATCACTACTCAAGACTCTGCTGAGCTCCAGCTAATGTCAAACACAGGGAAACATTACTAGCAAAAAAAAAAAAGGAATCAGGATCTTGTGAATCTAGTTCTCTTGTGAAAGATGATCACTTTGCTAACTTAAAAGAGTGTGGAGCTTGAGACCATCATTCTTTATAAACGCCAAGGAAAGCTTGGGGACCCCAGCTTAGAAAAGCAAGACAGACTCAATTCATACTTCCACATGAAGTGCAACTTATGCTTGCCTGCTAGGTGGTAATGAGAAAATAAATGAAGGAAACAAGTTTAAACAGACACATAATTACAGGTGAGGAAGGTGTGTAAGCATTCTTCCTACTCATTGATCTGTCATAGTCCTAAACTTCTAGTCTTTAGCTCCGATGCAGACAATGAACGGTAGTGACTCAAAGGAAAGAAGTCAGTATTGAAAGGAGGCAAAAACAATGAGATGGTGGCTGGCTTCATACCGGAGTGCTGGGAGTGAGTGGAACACGATGAGAGAAGTCTGTAAAGATTTTCTAGAAGAGGAGAGGAAAGTTGGCGAGAGAAGTTTGCATCTCTCTCACATCCTCAGTTGGGTTCTCTGCCCTCACTCAGACTGTTCTCCATCTTCCCCTTGCACCTGCCCCTCATTTCCAGACTAGCAGTCACGCAAGGTAGATGTGTCACCCTAGAATTCAGTGCTCCCCCTTTTTAGCACCTTCGGCATCCTCAATGGTTACTATACAATTGGCCATGTGAGTCCTCAGTCCTGGAAGCCTTCCTTGACTATTTTCTTTCATCTCCCCCCAGTAACTGCACCTGGCAGAGCTTGATCAGGAAGCTGATCGGTGCTGAGGTAGGTTCGTTTTAATTACATGCAATTTATCCCAAGTTGGTAAGCTCATTGAGACCAATATCATGTCAATGACTGTTGTATATCGAGCACCTAGCCCAGTGCCTGGAACACAGCAGACTCTGTCTGGTCCCTTGCTTCTGTTAGGCAGCACTTTTGCCCATCTCTTGTAGATGCCTTCCTAGTGCTCCTCTATGATCTACTCTTTCCTACTCTTCCTCTGCTCCTTTCTTTCCCTCCTACCTCCCTCTCTTCTTCCTTTCTTTTTAAAAAAATATCCTCAGAGTAAAAGTTCATACCATCAATTTCTTACAAACCTAACATAGCTCTTTTTACCTTCTCATGCTATGTTTATGCCATATACCAAACCTAGTCAGTTCCCTAGTTCCCTTTGAAATGTCTTGGATTCTTATTGCTTTAGTGAGATTCACTTAAATACTCTGTGTTCACAGCCTTCATAACTAGAATTATCTCCTTTATTTTTTTCCCACCTTTAGTTTCTTCTCTCTACATCTCCTCCTTCCCTATGCCACCAGAATAACTTTTATAGAAGACTTTCATGATTTTAGCCTCCTATTCAAGAACCTACAGATGGTTGCCTATGTAATTCAACATGTTTAAACCCTTGCTAGTAGGCTTCAGGATGGCTCTGCAAATTCTCCCTAACTACTTATGAAAAAGAAGAGAAATAGAATAATGCATATTGGAGGAAGCAAAATTAACTTAGAGGGCATTGTTGCTTTGTCATTTTAAGACAGGAAACATGTGCATGTTGACAGGAGAGGGAATCAAACTCAGTGCTTGGATGATGGAAAAAATGGAAGTGGTCATTAATGAGGAGGGACCTCTCTCTCTAAAACAATGTAAAAAGGAAGAGAGAGAGTTTAGTTCTGAGGCCACAGTATTCCCAGTAAAGTAGGTAGCAAGTTGGCTGCCAGTGATGGAGACCTATAGCTGTAGATAGGCTTAGGCAATTAGGAGTATCTGCTCATTCCTCATTCACTCACTCCTTCCACAGGTGTATTGACCACCTCTGTATATGTGAACTAAGCCTCCTTAGTAGTTTTCCACTTTGCTCACATGGCTTCTGCATTTGATTACATCATCCAAACCACAGGAAAACAGATCTAACTCCATTCAATTGTGATCTTGTTCGATTCATTATTCCAGTTAGTTGGGATCTTCTTGAATCCCAACTCTGTCATCCAGGGTTCTCCCTTCCAACTTTGTGTCCTTCTTTGAGAATCTGATAAGCATATGCTCTATAGCTTTTATAAAAATGTGGAGTGGGATATCGCTAAGACACAGAGGATACATGTGAAATTGCTCTCCCTCTCAACATGGACTCTTTAATGAGCTCCCTTTTGGTGATGTTTTGCTGCCTAGGTTGTAACTCTCCACCTCTTCCAACAGGATATCATGAAAGAGCTCATCAAATACTTTGCTAAAGTCTAAACGCACCATGCTCACTTCATTTCCCTCATCAAGCTGGAAAGTAAATGAATAATGCTGGCAAGTGGAAGAATATAATTAGATCGACAAAACTTGTTTTTAGCAAACCTGTGCCAAGTGGTCATGATTTCTCTTTCCAAGTGCGTATAAACAATTTCCTTAACTGGCAGTTATAGGTTCTTGCCATTGATGGCAAGTTCACTGCCACATATTTTGGAATTTTTCTTCTCTTTCCATAAAGCAGAATTGTATGTCTGTTTCTCAGTTTCTGGCATGGTTTTCCTTTAGTTCTGCAGAGATCACTTCCCTCAGTCTAGGGGGAAAATCTGGAAATTTTCTTAGTATCCTTTTTTTAAAACAGAAGTTTCATATACTTCCTGTAAGAGGTAAATGAAACACTGGTGAGATTTTAGGACGTATTATGACACAGACTATGGAGCAGACCAGAGTAGAACCCTCTTGAGATTAGAGCTGATGAGATTGGTTCAGGTCACTGACTCTTAAAATGGGTTGGTATATTGTGCTCTAGGCAGTGAGTGTGGTTTGGAATTAAAAGTCCCTCTCAACTAGAGATTTCTGGAAAAAAAATCAGAGTCTAAACAATTTTCCTTCTCTCTCCCCACCCATATTGTTTCTCTCTGCCATCAGTACCTTCAGAGTACCAAAGTATAGGACCTATTAGCAATTAAAATAGGACTTACCCACTTGCCCAAGCCTGGATAGTCATGTTCTGGATCAAAAAGGTGCTGGTGTAACTGGAATTCTCGACTGAACTCTGCTGTGTCAGGGGTGTTTTCTAGACATCCATCATCTACTGCAAACAACAAAAGGTTTCTGAGGAACAGCCAAGGATCTATTGTTATTCTAAGAGTTAATTTATTAAAAACAACTAGACATCCAAAGGTCAGAATGTATTCACATCAGTCATTCTAAATCAATATCCTTCTGGGATTTGCTCATCCCAGATTCCCATTCCTCTCCTACCCATGGCAGAGAATGGTTGGCTGCTCACCAAACCCACTTCCCATTCCCCATCGGCACATGGCTAATTTCCCAGCCTTGCTATGCAATCAGGTGGAGTCATATGCCTGGGTTTGTGCTGATGGAATGTGGGCAGAAGTGATGTATTCCACCTCCAAGCCTGGCCCATAAAAACCCTCTAGAGGACCCCCTCTCTTGCTCTCCCAACCCCACCCTCACCCCCAGCATCTGTTGGTCTGCTTGCTACATGTTACCGACCAGGGCAACTGTGGATGTCAAGTGCAAAGATGAAAGATGGCAGTCTGGGTTGCTGAACCATCCACCTCCACAACACCCTCACCCATCTCTGGCAGGACTTCACACAAATAAGAAATAAACTTCTATTGTGTTAAGCCAGTGCTACTTTTTATCTGTCATAACAGCAATTATTTCCTTTACTGATACACTTCCATTCCACATGACTTACTCTGTTTTCTCTTGGGTGGCTCTTTAGAAATGATTTTGGCTTCTTGGAGAAAATCCATTATATAAGAAAAATAATTATTAGACAGAACTTGATGGTGTGTGTTGTAGTGGTAACAGGGTAAGCCTGGAGTCAGAAAGATAGACCTGAGCTCAGGGTTCAAATCTTAGCTCATGAGTGATAGACAGGTTTAGTTCCTTCGGAGAGTTAACTTAGTCTAAGTTCATTTATTCACCTATGAAATGAGAATAATCAAATCCCTACCTTTCAGAGCAGCTATAGGGAATAGAGATGATCATATAGAGAGCATCTGGCACATAATAGGTTTTAGTTCCCTTCTCACCTTCTCTCTTTAAATGACAGTTCTTATTATCAATGCTCTTTGAAATAAAGCATGCCTTCCATTCAAACAGAGAAAAAGGCTATCCGTCTAGGCTGCTGCTTTTACCTAAGCCCTGTCATTACAAGACACAGTGCTCTGCAACTGAGTCCTTTTTTTCCTGTCTCTGATGTGCTTTATAGACAACAGCTTTAAAAGGGCGGGGGTGGGGGAGGTTGGGAGGGTGGTTTGTGCAGGACTAGGAAAATGAAAGAGGCTTCCTTTCAAAGGGAGAGTGAAGCATCAAAGTCAATGCTAAAAGGGGTCTAACACAATCAGACAGGTAGTCTGGTCTCTTGAGACTGCTCTGACGCCTACCAGCAGCTTTCAGCACAGTCTCTCAGCCCTCAGCAGCAGGAAGCTTGGGAGGAAAGCACTCGCATTTGGAAAAAACCCTAATGTGACTCTAACATGGCTCCCCACTTCTCACTGAACTGGTTATCTGATTTCTTCATCTAGAGCAATTAACATGAAGGAAAGGGAGAGCAGAGCAAAAGAGGTCAGGCAGTCTGCACATGGCAGCTTTACAACCTCTTCCTAATTGTTTCTCAAGTACCTCTGAGTGGGCCCAAACTGAGGTGTAGAGATAGAGCCCTGTGGCTCTGGGAACCCAAGGTGTCTGGAGCCTGAAAATGCTCCCTGGGATTCACATCCCTGAGGCCCAGGACAGGCTGTTTGCTGTTCTACCGGGGTGAGTGAGCCATGATTCAGAGGTGAGTGTGGCTTGGGGAGGGAAGTGAAGGTTATTCTTGGATGGCTGGACTATGCGGTGTCATGATTCTCAATGAGGCATGTCTCAAGCAATTTCTTACGAATAATGGCTAAATTTAGCAAGTGAGTTTTTTCTAGAATGCAGAATATGGTAGAACAAAGAGGGACAAGTATGTTAGCTTAATGAAAAGGCAGGGAGGGAAGGGGCAGATAATGGCAGACAAGAAAGGGCCTGGGAGCTGGGTTTTTATCCAACTCTATCCGCCAGCCAGGATTGCTCCATCTCAGAGCTCCTAAATGCTACTGATTAGGGCTTGATTACATAGATCTCTATACTACTTGTTTCAAGGATTAGCTAGGACTACACTGAACGCTTTTGTAAGGCACTGACTATGTCTCCATTTTACAGATGAAGAAACTGAGGCCCGAGGAAGTAAACTGACACGCTGTAATGAGGACTAGATAGCAGATCTGTAGACTCAAACTCTGGCTCTCCTTCCATTCTCCTCTAACAGCAGTTCTCCAAACTTCAGTATGCTCCAGAATCACAGGAAAGGCAGCTTAAAATACAGATTTCTGCATCCTACCCCCAGGGTTTCTGTTTCACTGGACAGAGGATCCTGGTGGGCTACATACAGTTCACAGGGTCACAAAGAGTTGGACATGACTAAGCAACTAACATTTTACTTTTTTATTTTTTACCCCCAGGGTTTCTAATTCAATAACTCTGGAAGAGGGGCGAAGATCTGCCTTTCCAATAAGTCTCCAGGTAATGCTGATGCTGCCAGGACTACATTTTAAGAACCATTGTCTGATATGATATTGAATCAGTTTAACCAAGTCCCCATGAGACTGTTACTCTTCAGACTCCAAACTGGTCTTTCTTCCTGCTCATCCAAAGCCTCACAGGCAAGTGAAATGTGGCTGAATCACTGGTTCTGTGCAGTGATTTAGATTTTCCTACAGTCCTGGGCCAGCATCCCCACACTGGCTCCATCCAACTATTTTGGTTGTCCCATCCCAGGATGGAGGCCTGTCCCCCATGGGAAACAGAGACCTCACCTATCTTTCAGAGGGAACCTCTTTCAAAGAGAGCCTGTATTGTGTTTAAGAAAAGCTGAGGTACCAATACTGTCAGAATTTTCAGAGCAAGACAGCATGTCTTAGTGGTTGGGTCCACGGTCCTGAATCAGATAGACCCAAGTTTGAGTTTTGGCTCAGCTACTTGTTACATAAATAACCTTGAGCAAGCTATTTTGGAAGCTTCAGGTTTGTTATATGTAAAGTAAGGATAATAAATACTAAGTGTAGTGTTAGTCATTCAGTCGTGTCCGACTGTTAGTGACCCCATGTAGCCCGCCAGGTTCCTCTGTCCATGGAACTCTCCAGGCGAGAATACTGAAGTGGGCTGCTGTTTCCTTCTCCAGGGATCTTCCTGACCTAGGGATCAAACCTGGGCCTCCTGCATTGCACGTAGATTCTTTACCATCTGAGCCACCAGGGGGAAGCCCAATAAATACTAACATTATTATTATTGGGCTGAAGGGAAAAGACTACTCTGGTTGCTTACTAGTGGCAAAGCTATTTATAATCTGGATGATATTTAATGAGTCCTTACTCTGTGTGAGGTGATGTGCCAAGTGCTTAACATGGATAATTTCATTTAATTCCCCAATAACCCCCATTTTTCAAATAAGGAAGCTGAGATGCAAGTCATTTATTAACTTGTTTGAGGTCATATCTCCTGACCTGGAGTTTGAATTCAGGTAGTCCTCTGTCTAGAGTAACTACTCTGAACCAGCAAAGTAAGCTGCTCAAAGCCCAGCATAAGTGAAGCTCACTCACTATTCATCCTCTTTGGCACTGGAGGGTAGAAAATTGGGAGCAATGCATAAACAGCAAGGAAGGTTTCAACCTACTTCCTTAACCAACTTACCTTCCTGGGTCCCCTCTCTCTCATGCCACCTCTCAACTCCCAAAGAAATATTTCAGGATAGACACTGGTTACAACATAGTTGAAGTGTTGATTGTCAAGAGAAGTGAGGAAAATGAATGGGCATGGATCATCCACAAAGGAAACAAGTTCCAAAGTGGGCAGCAACTGTACCAAAGAAGAGGCAAAAAAGAGAAAGCCCTCTCTTTTATTAAAAAAAGAAGCGCATGCAGAAAAGAGCATCACTTCCCAAAGAGGGAGAGAGAAGATGAAGCCTTGGCAAGAGAGGCCTCTGCAGGTGTATCTGAACATCAGAACTCACCAGGAGTTCTAGAATCAACTTCCCTTTCCAATCCACCTACAAAAAAATACATAGGGGCTCATGGGACTAGAAATACTTTTTCTCTGAGCATATGCAGCCAATGGTAGCATTTTTAATTTCCTCCCAAAGTTCCTACCTTTCATGGGAACCCAGGAGCGTGCCCACTAATGCCCACTACCTGTTTTTCCAACGGGGCAGGGGTTTGGAGGGTCTGGGTAGCCCTGGTCCTCACTGAAGTCCTTAGGAATGTTGTCACCGGTCAACTCTGCCACGATGTTTGGGATGTTGCCAAAGGGACCCAAGTGTTGCAGACCTTCATGAGCTCCACCTGCCAGGAAATCAGAAGTAGATCATTTCGGGGCAATGCCATTCATTTCAACTACTATTTATTCAGGCACACCAGACAAGCAAAGTGCTGTGTTCTATGCTGTGGAGAGAGAAAAGGAAATACAATAGTTCCTGCCCTTAGGGGGTTAAAGTTTTCATTGTGGAAACAGGCACAAACTGCACAAATACCATTTCCACTTAGGGCAGACTGTGTATGTGCTATAGCGGACATGTTAAAATACAGTACTTGGAACAGCGTAGATGGGGGCTTCATTAGGCTGATAGGATGGGAGGGCTTTTGGACAAGGTGGAGCTTGAGTGGCACTGGCACAGATGAGCTGGACTTTGCAAGTTGGGCACCAGGCTCAGGGAAGAGACGAGGATGCAGCTGGCATCCAGATAAAAGGACAGGCTGAATGACAACCAATTACCCATGAAAGGGAGATGAGGAAAATATCCGACCTTCTCCCATTCGAGAGCAGCCACTTAAAACTGGGTGTATTTATTTCAATCTTTTCTTCTCTGTGCATCTTTTTCTGTCCATTTGTTCGTTTTTCATTTACTATTAAAGCATGTGGCTGCACGGTCTCTAGCCCCATGATTATAAATGACTATGTAGTCTTCAATCCAGTGGTCCTACCACAACATATTAATCATTCCCCCATTGTGGGATGTTTAGTGTTTCCCAATTTGCTCTTAGGCATTTAATTTTTTCCATATTTTGGATTAGTTTTCCTCAGGAAAGATTCCCAGAAGTCAAATTACTGGGTCAAAGGCTATAAATATTTTTATGACTCTTTATATTATATTGCCAAACTGTTTTCCAGAAAGGAGGTACCAATTTATAAAATATCAACAAAATCTGAGAATTCCATATTTATACATTTTAACCAGTATTGGGTTTTACCAAAATAAAGTTTTATGTTTTCTTTGCTAATTTTAAAGGCTTTTAGAAAAATTACTGTTTCGTTTTGAATGTCTTTGATTACCAGCTCAGTCGAATTTTTTCCATGTTTATTTATCCGATTTAATTTCTTTTCTGTGAGTTGTCTGTTTCTACTCTTGGAATTTTAGTGTTTCTCTTATCAACTTGCAAGAACATTTTACCTAATAAAGGTATCAAGTCTTTGGCCACTACATTTCCTGCAAACACTTTCCATGTTGTCTGACTGACTTCTGGTCATTATATTTGTAATAGTTTGCTAACATAGGTTTGTTGTTGTTATCCTTCATGATCTCTTCTCACTTTCTAAACTTACAAAACTATTGGCCCTTCACAAAAGTACTTTCAATATTTAGATATTTTAGTTTTCTATTTTTAAAATTAACTCTTTGGTACAGCCACTATGGAAACACTGTGGAGGTTCCTGATAAAATGAAAAATAGAACTGCCACGTGATTGAGCAATGCAACTCCTGGGTATTTATCCAAAGAAAATGAAAACACTAATTCAAAAATATATATGCAGTCCAATATTCATTGCAGCATTATTTACAATAGCCAAGATATGAAAGCAACTGAATGAATCAACAGATGAATGGATAAAGAAGACATGTGTGTGCGTGTATATATATATATATATATATATATATATATATATATATATATATATATATATTAGAGAGAGAGAGAGAGAGAGAGAGAGAGAGAGAATGTCAGTCAGTGGAATATTACTCAGCCATATGACAACATGGATGGACCTGGAGGGTATTAAACTAAATGAAATACAATATGCTCTCACCTGTATATGAAATCTCAAAAACAAAACAAACGAAAAAAATAACAAAATAGAAACAGATTCAGATACAGAGAGCAAACTAGTAGTTGCCAGAGGGGAATGGGGGTGGCAAGGGGTTGAATGAAAGTAGAGGAAGGGAATTACACAAATTGCAGTTATAAAATAAGTCAACGGTAAGCAATATACAGCACAAGGAATATAGTCAATAGTATTATAATAAATTTGTATGGTATGTAATCTATAAAAATATGGGATCACTATGTTGTGCACCTGAAACTAATATAATACTGCAAGTCAACTGTACTTCCAAAAAAAAGAAAAAATTAACTCTGTTATATATACACTGTGTGTTTTAGGGCATGTGAAATAATTAACCAATTATCCTATTGGCACTTGCTAAGTGATTCTGTCCTTCTCTACATATTTCATCCCTTCAACAAATATTTAGTTGCCCCATAGATACCAAGCCTGCTCTGAACACCAAGGCACAGCAGTGAATAAGAACAAGTAGGTTCACACTGTATAACTTGCTTTACTTAAATATCCTGCTCATGCTCCGTTGCTCAGTCATGTCTGACTCTTCGCAATGGGCTCCTCAGTGCATGGGATTCTCCAGGCAAGAATACTGGAGTGGGTTGCCATTTCCTTCTCCAGGGGATCTTCCTGACCCTGGGATCGAACTCTGTCTCCTGCATCTCTTGCATTGGCACGCAGATTCTTTACCTCTGCACCACCTGGATGCATGTCAATTTCCAGACTCTTCTCTTGCAGCCTTAATATCCTATAAGGCTCAGGAATCTTACTCTTCCAACACTACAGCAGCCATTTCAGAAATGAATTCCTATTTATTAGCTGTATCGTGACACAGCTGCCTTGATGCATAATCACTATTTACATAGACCTAAACACAAAAGGGCAAATCAAAATGTGCTTGCTCGATGTGCATGAAATTAGAAACAAAATCAGGTGGTTCAGCTGGTAAAGAATTCACCTGCAATGCCGGAGACCCTGGTTCTATTCCTGGGTCGGGAAGATCCCGTGGAGAAGGGATAGGCTATCCACTCGTATTCTTGGGCTTCCCTGGTAGCTCAGACAGTAAAGAATCTGCCTGCAATGTGGGAGACCTGGGTTCGATCCCTGGGTTGGAAAGTTCCCCTGGAGGAGGGCATGCAACCCACTCCAGTATTCTTGCCTGGAGAATCCCCATGGACAGAATAACCTGGCAGGTTGCAGTCTCTGGGAGTCGCAAAGAGTCAGACACAACTGAAGTGACTAATCACAGCACAGCATAAAGTAACCATACTTCCACCGTCACAGGAAACATGGTCTTGCCAATGGGTTATGTTACTTAAGTCAAGCCAGGTGAATCTCCCTTTTCCCCTGGACAAGTTGTGCCAAGGCATAAACCTCCGACACTTGCTTTTTTCCCTCTTTGTTGGTTGAATCAACTCCCATTGAGATCAACACATAATTTTCCTTTGGAAATATTAATCTATTCAGCAGGATCATGGCTAGCTCCTAGTGTCCTGGGAATCCTATTGTCTCTTTGAAGTCACATTGCATCTTTCTGTCTTAATTTATTGTGCTTGATTAACATTTATTCCTTTGATTTTTTTGTTTTTTTGTTTTGACCACATAGCATAGCTTGTGGTATTTTAGTTCCCCAACCAGGAATCAAACCCATGCCCCCTGCGGTGGAAGTGTAGAGTCTTAATTCTTAAAAGGATAATTGTACCTCTTTTAATTCCAAATTCCTCTAGCTTCCAAATATAGACATCATAAAGTAACTGGGTTTTTTTGTTTACCTTTATATTATAGTTCACTGAGTGAGTAGCACACAGAATGTTTGCATTTTTAAAGAAAGGTATTATTTTTATAAATTTTCCATGTGAGTATTTAAGATGTATTTTTATATAACCCATAAATATCTAAATATAGCCAATTATCCAACACTATTGATCATATTCTTTTATGTCCTTATTCATATTTTATTTATCACAATCTGATGGCTGTGTTAAAATCTATTACTACCAATAAGTGTCTGTCAGTATCTTTCATTTCTTATTGTTTTTGCTTTAGTATTTTGATGCTATGCTAATTGCTATGTCCAAGAGTATAAATTATTCATTTTAATTGTCATTAACTGGCAAAATTAATAACAATTGACAAATCATATCTTGACACATATTTCTGCTATTAGCATTGCCACTTTCATTCAGTTGTTTTGTTTGGTGAACCTTTGGTCATTCTTTTATTTTTAAACTTTCTGTATCTCTCTGAAGATTTTTCCAATTCATACTGAGTTGCCTGCCTTCAGAGACATTCTAGAAATTCACATTTATCATCTCACATTAACCCAAGACCCACAAAAGTTTAGAGAGATAGACCAGTATGCTTGGTATTGGTATATCTGAGGCTTTATACCATCTTGGCATTAGAGCCACCTTGTGATTGCTATAGGGCATGCCTTCTGGTGCGTCAATACATGTCTCAACTTTTGAAAGCACCCTAGGCTTAAGTGCCAGGAATTATCCAACTTGGCTTCAGGGAGATGCATGTCTTAATGCTCCACTAGTAATTAATGAAGGAAGCAAACACAGTTTCCTTTATGGAAGGCCTGCCAAGGTTCTGTTTACCTCTGTGCACCAGTGCCATTAGAATGAATGGTACACTTGTTAGGAAGCAACAGATGTTTAGCACCAGGCAGATATAACACAGGCTCTTTTAAAACTACATTTAATTACATCAAATCAAGAAATACTCACTGAGGAACTATGGGAGTTCGATGGAAATTAAAAAAAAAAAATTCTATCTTTTGCACCTGGATGGGTGGGGGGGAGTTTAGGGAAGAAGGGATACATATATATGTATGGCTGAGTCCCTTTGCTGTTCAACTGGAACTATCACAACATTGTTAATCGACTATACCACAGTAAAAAATTAAAAAAAAATTTATTTTTAATGCTATCCTTTGTTCTCCAAGAACTTGAATTTTATAGATAAGAAAGTGAAACTGTTAGTTGTTCAGCTGTGTCTGACTCTTTGTGACCCCACGGACTATATGTAGCCTGCTAGGCTCCTCTGTCCATGGAATTCTCTAGGCAAGAATACTAGAATTTGTTGCCATTCCCTTGTCCAAGAAATCTTCCCAACCCAGGGATCAAACCCAGGTCTCCAACCCAGGTCTCCCACATCTCACAGGCAGATTCTTTACCACCTAAGCCATCAGGGAAGCCAGCCAAGAAAAGTAACCACATATAGAA